ATGTAACTCTTTAGATGAAGAAATCAATTTTGTTCATCTCAAGAATAATAGTTCCTCAAAACCAAATAGTAAACATTGGTTCACAATTAATGACATTCCTCCAGGCTAATGGAGAGGAAGACTCATTGATTTCGTTGCTTGGTTAGATATAGAAATGATCAAGGATGCTGACCCTTAAAAAGTAATCAAAATTTTTTGTTGCAAAATGACTAAAACCTTGATATCATAATCTTGGAACAACTAAACAACATTGGTTCCATGAGTTAAGTCAAACATCAACAATTTTAGGAGCATTGCATAAAGAATTTATTGGAGATGGTGCAATAATTGATAATAAACTCAGATAAAAACATTTTGAGATGAAATGTTGCTCAGTCAAAATCAAAGATTTACAGAAGCATTATCAAAGGATGAATAAATGATTTTATCAACTCAACAAACTTAATGACCTAAGCCTAAAAATACATATGTTGCATCTTTACCTATTAAAATTCAACCACAACTGAACATGATGGTCATAGCTATCCAAAAATATTTCATTACATTAACATTGGGACAAATCCACCAGATGACTCCAGAAGCAATTGATAAGGTTTGCATGCAACACAAATTCTTCTCAAATATCATAAATTAAGAGAGCAAATTTTACAAGGTTACAAAAAAAATCTTATCTTGAGAAAAAAATGCAAGTAACTGTGTTTCAGTCACTATAGAAAGAAGAAACAAGAAAACCATTCAACTAATCAAAAGAAAAAGGCCTTCAAATTTTTTAAGAAAAAGAAAGTAAGAGGAAGATCTAATGACCAAAGATGCTTCATCTTTAAAAAGAAGGGTCATTTCTAAAAAAATAGTCCTCACAAGATTTATAAGGCAAACAAAGTCATTTTTGCTCTCAATATTAGAGATAATGATGAAGTTGAATCTATATATTCAAAACAAAGCTCCACCAATAAAGATATAGTGTTTTCCCTTAGTCAATCTACTAATGATGTAAAATCTTATAGTTCAAACTCAGAAGCATAAACACATAAGGTCCTAATTTTTTCTTTCCAAAAAATGCATCCAATTAATTTTACAACTCCACAACCATGTGTAGAAATACAATTTCTGCCTTTTAAGTATGAAAAACTCATCAAAGTCATTATTCATCTTTCCATTAGAGCACAAAAATCAAAGATGGTTTTAGATCTTCAAATAGCTCACCAAGAATGCAATGAACTATTGAGATAAGGATTAATAGAACCAAGCCAATTCAACTATGATTATTAAACATTCTATGTTGGAAAAAGATCTAAAAATCTCTAGAGAAAAAAAGGTTACTCATTATTTATAAATCCCTCAATCATATCCTCAAATATGATAAGTTTCATATTCCAAAGCATCCTCATTAACCTCTTTAATCAAAGAATCCAACATTTTTTTTCAAATTTGACCTTGAGTCAAGATTTTGAAAAATAGGGGTTGACCAAATCGATAGATACAAAACTATCTTTTGTATCCCTAGTTTCCAATATCAATAAGTGATGTGTTTCAAGTTGAAAGGAACCCCAAGACTAAAGGCAGCTTATTCACTATTTCAAAATGTCATGATAAAGATTTTTTAGCCCATTGTGGATAGAATAATCATCTATAATGATGATATCCTACTATTCTCTCGCAATATATGGACTCTTACAAAAATTTGCTAAATCCATTCTTAGATACAACAAACTAATATGACATCATAGTCTCTAGAAACAAAATCAACCTGGCACAAAATAAAATTTTGATTTTTTTTTTTTACGGATGTATTTTTTGGAAGGAACTTATCAACTTAACCTCACATTATTAAAAAAACTCCTAAATTTTTCATATCAAAATTTAACCATCAACAAATTCAACTGTTTTTAAGAATTCTTAATTACATTTGAGATTTCATCCCCGTAAAAGAAGATATACTAACACTTAAGTTGTTCAAGAGTTAAGAAAATATCCCAAGCTCCACTAACCTTAAAAGTCCATAAACATAGAAAGAGAATCGTTCAAACACATGCTGATAATGATTAGGGGGCAATTCTTATTGAATAAAAAACAAGAGACATTATTCTGGACATGCTAGTAAATAATTTCAATGGAACGGAGAAACATTATCATGCCACTTTTTAAAAAAATTATAATAATTAAAAATGACAAAAATGTTAGACTTCTACCTAAAAGATTATATTTTGAAGTTCAAATGGATAATTTTTCTTTCTCAAAAATCTTGGATTTCTGTTTAAAACATTTATTATCATTATTTTGGTTAAAAAGTTTAGCAAGGAAAACCGTCAATGTTCACTATAAACAAAACATAAAAATTAAAAAGAAAAAAAAAACAAATAACAAGGATGAAAATTCAAATGGTTTTAATATATTTATTGTTATATTTTTCATTCAATTTAGTTTTTGTATTTGTAGTTTAAAAATTGTTTAATCTATCTTTAATCTTTAAATAAATATATGAATTTAGTTATTTTATTAACTTGACCATAAAAAAAGTCATTATTAATTATTAAATTTAGGATAAAATATGTTTTTCATATAATAAAAATAATAAATATTTATTTTTAATACAATTAAAATATTTTGTTTGATTTTCAAAAAAATTCGTTAAGATTTTAATCGTCCCCATTGAAAAAGTAGTTAATTCTATGTTACGTGAATCATTAAATGATTTGTATACTCATGTGTATAATTTTAATATCATAAAAATTCGATTTCATGGTTTATGACTAATTGTGGATGTGTACAGTTAGAGTTGTCATGTTAATGAAGTTTTCCTTTAGTAAATTTTGAGTAATATGTAAATAAATTTTGTTCATACGATGATATTTAAATTCATATCGATGAACATAATGATTTATATGACGTAAAACTAACCATAGTAATGATTAAAAAAACTTAATAAAGTAACAAATAATATATAAAAACCAAACAAATTTGTTTAATTATATTAAACACAAACACTTATTATAATTATTGTATGAAAAACATATTTTACTTTTAAATAAAAAAAACTAAGATCATATAATTTTTAAAATATGAGAACTGAATTTAACAATTTGAAAATACAAATAAATTTAAAGAAAAAAATTATCTTAATCTTATGTAGTGAAAGAAAAGCTTAAATAATGAGTTATAAAAAAATAAAAATAAAAATAGTAAAATTACATCGATATATATATATATATATATATATATATGGTCCACTTGCCAATATCACTATCAAATAAGTTATTTTTCTAATCTTTTGTTTCTTTTTTATAGTGTATTTAATAAAGTATATTATCTAAACAATGAATTCTAAAGACATTTAAAAATATATATTGCCTTTTATAACGATTAAGCATTATACTGAACGTTAAAAAATATCAACCGAGTTGATAGAGCAAAATTCATCAATCCTTAGAAATTAAGATTAAAGAAGAAAACAAAACTCATGAATGTTACTTACCTCCACTCTATTTAATCCATATATTTTGTCATATACCCCTTATCCATTCTGCCCAAACAAAAATTTATCTGTTTTCCAATTTATTATTAGTTAGGTATCCGTTTAAAATATATTTTTACATTTTTTTTATAATTTTTTTTATTTTATTTTTAAATTTAAGTAAAATTATTCTTTAAAATATATATTTTAATAATTTTTTTATCATAAAACAATTTAAATAAAATTAAATCATAAAATCTTAATATAAATAAAATTAATTTTTATAAATTATTAATACAAGAAAGTTATAATATAAAATATAAATTTAAATAATATTATTTCTTAAAAAATAATTTTAATTTTGTAAATTTAAATAAAAAATATAAATCTACAAATTTTAATTCTAAATTACTCTAATAATTAATGTTTTTCTTATTAATAATTTCATTTAAAAAAAACATTAAATAAAAATTATTTGCAGGTTACATTAGAAATATTTGAGTTGAATATTTCAATATTTATAATTTAAGCAAATATTTAAATACATATACCCCTTACCAACGTATATCTATTTAATATTTACAACGGATTTTAGTCGAGCGAGCCCGGTTTTTTTGTTTTTTTCATTCCTAAACACAAAACTATACCCTGTGCAACTTTATAAATGTTATGCCACACCTACACAACACTTAGTTGGACATATATATGCATAAACTTATAATGGTTAAAAGTTACGTAAAAGAAGTTCTATAAACTGATTTATATATAAATTAATTTTGAATTATATATAAGCTATCTTTGTTTTACCTCTTTTAGAAATATTTAAAAACAAAAGAAAGCTTGTCCAACATACTACTAGGAAAGTTACCTTCACTTTCTCGTTTCCCTTGTAGATCCTTCCAGGTTAAAACATACCAGGTCAAATGAAAACAACCACAAGCCAAATTCTGGTTTTTAAGGTGTGGTTGCAAAAGGAGACTTCTAAAAACTACATTGAATAGGAGAAAATTGATGAGTGGTTGAGACAGAAATGATAAATAAAATAAATGGAAAACCAAAGTGTTTGAGACGAGTGGATGTAAATTGTGGTTGGAAATGGAGTGTGCGTGGAATGCTTCAGCCCAAGAAATAAACTATGGGAAATTGAAACTGAATTAGTCTCGAAAGAATAGAGCTTTAACGACTAGATACAGGTTTCACATCAGATGCATTATTCAGATTCGAAAGGTCCTAGTATCTATCATAGATCTGTAGGCCAGTATTGCTCTGCGAAGTGACAAGAGGTGATGAAATTGTACAGGGGTTTTGGTTGTTCAGTAAACAAGCTAACCATGTCATTAAGTCTTTATGCTGTTGTATCACAATTCAGCCAATAAATTTTGTTCATGTTCGTAAACCAATAATGCACAAAAGAAAACATACATTTATTCGGTTCAAAACTATACACGTCCACAAATAAAAAGTAGATGGAAATTGAGTGCTTATCCAAATCACCTTTTAAACTTTTTAGTTTGTATACTGACATTAAATACTGAGATAGCCAGGCGTTTTAGTGAGGCTTCTGTAGGATGATGACCCGATTATGTCCAACACGAGTTTCATTGATTCGGCCAAGGTGACGAAGAACCTGCAGAACGCCAAAGAGGACATATGAATTTTTTCAGGGTAGGAAGAACCAAATTATCTACAGAAATTGAGTGCTAAATATTCCATGAAGGACTTTGCTTCGGTTATCTCTTTCGGTTTATCATAGGAATTGCGTCAGAAAATATAGAGAAACATTCCCTGCGGAGATAATGACATAACTAAGATTTCACCACATTTGCTTCGCCACTGTCTACAGCGACCATATTAAGCATTCGTACATTGCCTCAGAATGACGTCAATGTTGATCAAGCATAGAAAGAAATAACCAATTCACATCTCATGTTTCAGGAAGAGGTAAAATTGACCATACACTCAGAAGAAACTTGATATGACATCAGATCCTTGACATAAAACCCAAATGGGAAAAACTCATGCTACAACCATCAAGTGAATTGCTTAACTCAAAGATCTTTAGTGATCTTAGGAACAATCATAATCATTTAAAGAGACGATTATTTGGAAGCCAAATGAAGAGCAGAATCGCGAAACTTGTAGACCGTAGTACACCATAAACCATAATGGTTCGGTTAAATCAAGTGGTGACTGAGCATTTGAAGAAGGACATCCACAAACAGTGGGGTTGAAATGTGCAAATATTTGACAATGAACAGGTGGCATAATGATAATAGCATACATATGCAATATGGTGCGTGAGGGTAAATTGGGTAGCTAGATGGGTTGAAATTACATTCATAAAAATAGCAATTCCCATGGTCCTGACTCCTGAGAGTTGTTCCTTTTAGCAACTAAAGTTGAAAAGGTGTGAACCGCAGGTTTGCAGACTACACAATCCCTATATGAATTAAGATAAGCAAGCCAACAATGGGATGCCAAGCTCACATCTGCCTTAATCAATTTTGGCTTCACTCAAAGTACAACTGACTACTCATTATTTGTCAAACGTACTGCTGACTCATTCACAACTCTTCTAGTCTATTGCAATGACATAGTTATAACTGTAAATAATCTGGCATAATCAATCACCTCAAGACCTATCTTGATAACCAATTCCACATAAAGGATCTTGGTGAATTAAAATAATTTCTTTTGCTCGATCTAAGCGTGGCTTGGTTCTCAACCAACACAAATACTGCCGTGATATTCTAGCTGAATTTGGTCTCACTGGTTGTTAACCAGTACCTTCTCCTGCTACTCCTTCTGGCAAGCTCAATGAAGATGATGGAGATTTAATTTCTTATCCTACTAATTTTAGGAGATTAATTGGCAAACTATTATATTTAACACATACAAGGCCAAATTTAAGTTTTGTTGTGCAGCAGATTAGCCAGTTCATGACGAAACCAAGAAGCTCTCACTTACAAGCTGCCTTTCGGATTCTCAAATATCTTAAAAATGCCCCTAGACAAGGTCTCTTTTATCTAGTTCAGAATTCGCACATAATTCAGATGTTTTCAGATTTAGACTAGGCAAATTGCAGCACCACTAGAAGGTCAATTACAAGGTATTGCATCTTTTATGGAAATTGCTTAATATCCTAGAAGTCTAAGAAGCAGGATACAGTTTCTCACAACTCCACAGGGACAGAATACAGGGCTCTAGCCACTATGGCTTGTGAATTGCAATGGCTGAAATATATTACTGATGACTTGTTTTTTAACATCCCTTTACCCATTACTACTTTCTATGACAATCAGTCTACCATTCAATTAGTCAAAAATCATTCATTTCATGAAAGGACCAAGCACTAGAAGTGATTGTCACTTCATACGTACAAATATTCTTGAAGGCCTCATTCTTCTTTCTCACATTCCTTCTAAACATCAACTTGCGGGTATATTTACTAAAGCCTTGTTTCCTTTTGCAGCAAATATGTCCAAGATGGGTTGATTAACATCCATAACCCACCTTGAATAACTGCTGCTGCTCTTTCTTACGGTAATTTTTTGTTTTTTTAGTTAGAGGAAGTTATCCTCCTCTTTTCTTGGTTATTCAGTTTTATATAACTAAGTTCATATACATTATCATTTCAATACAAGAGAGATGTTATTCTTTATATTTTGTAATAAAATATCATATATTTTATTCTGACTTCTTCCTTTGTGTGTGTCCTATTTTGCAACCAAAGTTTTGGGTTTCTTAGTTAAGAGACAATCCAACGATCTTCAAGAGTAAGCAATTAACAATTTCTCAAATATTTTGTGCAAAACAACATTCTATTCCGTTTTTAGTAAATTAGTTAATAATATGTTTTCTGAAATAACTGCCTATACTGCAGAAATAACCATTGTAGAAACTACCCATCTTAGGGAATAAAATTACAGAATTATTCAAACATAAGATACCATCATACCAACAGGTGGCAAAAACCTACAAACACTATATTATTTATCATATAATAACAAGCATAATAGTTGACACTGATACTTTAAAGTCAGTTGCTCCTTTCCTTCAATGACAAACCTCTTCTCAGCTTCAAAATATGCTTTTCCAAGGAAAACAAGTCCTAATTATATTCTATATTATTTATCTTTAGGTCATCAATTCCTAATGAAATGGATGTAGCCGTAGCTTGGCGGAATCCTAGAGTCTTTCCTTGATCTAGGATATGTGATGTATATGCCATTCCGAAGTGATCTATTAATCTGCTAATAAGTCGTTTAATGGCAGTTCCACCTATCACTTTATTGTGAAACACTAGATTGGTCCGTTCTGCCATAAATACCTCCCTATTCCACTCAGTGGGATTGATTCAGTTCAACAATGGGTTTGAGTCAATGATTGAAAAACTGCTTTTTTCTTATCTTTATTTGTGTAGAAATTGAGAAATTGAAAAACTAGGATCCTAGTTAAATCATGAAGACCTGAATTTACACCGGTATGATAAATTTGTTTACAGTAAAGTCTTGGCAAGAAAGGGAGCCTCTCCTCTGATTATCCTTAAACCATCAAACATTATGAAAAGGTGAAAAGGTGAAGGCAGAAATGGCAATGTGATTGGTCTTCCAATATGATTACATTACATCTGTTTAAGACTTTAAATATTCAAGATTATCCAGTTTAAAATTTCAAATAATTTCACATGTAATTCAAGAGCAAGTTCAAATTCACCAAAATCACATGTTTGGCACAAAAGAATACTCACAGTCAGTATTGCTTTTCCAGTGTTGTCAAGTTTCAGCGATGGCCCTTTTATATCAGCCTCAAGAAAAAAGTGTTTTCCTTTAATCCCTTCCATGGTCGCAATATCCCTTATTTCCTGCATTGTTAAGATAACTGATAACCTTTTTTTTTGGCATATGCTGATATAGATAACTTCAAAAATGTATGACTAGAGGGAAAATAGTTGAAATGAAAAAAGAGATTTCACTCACCAGGGCTTTTTCCCAAAGATTTTCCGCCAACTTCATGAACAAAAGAGAAAAAAAAAAAATTGTCAATACAAAGTAAAATGCAAGAAATGTAATTTACAATTAAAAACAAATTTGTGCTTTAACCTTCTTTTTCGGGGCTACGATAAGTTGAGAATTTGATTCGGCATAAGACACCATATCATTAATTGCTGCATTCACCTTCTCTAGAGTAAGCCGGCCTCTCATATATCTGTAAAATCAGACCTGATGTCAGGCAATGATGTAGGCATAAATCATGGATAGAAAAGTGCATGCTTCTGCATCAAAACTCCAGTCATTGACTAAGTCGGCATGTTTGAGATATTTCACATGACACCTGCTGAAAACGCTTAGATTGCTTCATCAGGTATAAAATGAAGAGCCAAATGTATTTTTTGTTGACAATTCATCATCACGTCATCAGGTGTGTTATGTAACATATATATGATCCAGATGAATTGTAATTGTAAATTTACAGAGAAATATTTAACAAATGGAAATATACATACATCGTTACTTACGATGACAAAGAATCTAACTCACTTCCAGTAACATACCACGTTGGTGGAGAACCACGACCCTTTTTCTCCTAAAAAATAAAACGACATAAAACGTAAGACCTTAACTATACACTGTATCTAGTAATGACATGAAAATGAGATGGCTATACTGATAACAGGGCAACAAATTCTCATGTAGGAGCCACTCAAACATACTAAAAATAACAGAAGAAACAAAACAAAATTACATGGGATGCAAGGCAATAGAAAAGTTACAAACCATCAACAACTTGTGCTGATTTAAATATGTTTCGGAAGGGTTAGGATTATTGGGATTGGTGCTACTACTAGAGTAAGCATAAGTGAGCTTAATTCAGTTATTTAAAACAAGAAAGCAGTAGCATATTTCGAGAAAATTAATAGTGATGATGCATATAGCACCGACACGACTCCCCTCACCCGTGTCGAAGTGTCGCACACGAGTCCAACACTGACACAGCTACGACACGTTGAAAATGCGTGTTCGACTCCTTTTTGCAGTGTCCGCAAGACCAAATACTCTTCGCGGGGCTTCAAGTCTTGGTGGATATGGCGTGACCCAGATCCGACACGTATCAACACAGCTCCGACTCGGCGGTGATAGCAAGGTATAATTTTTATAAAAAAAAAATTAAAATTTAATAAAAAAATGTAATTTTTTCCGTTTACATTCTTTTTTTTCCTGCTTTCCTTCCTTCCTCTGCACGTTTCCATTTCTGCTCCAAAGGCTTTCTTTTTTCATCTAAAAATTCTTCGGTCCCATTGTAAAGATTTTTCCTTTTCTCCTGCTTTGCTTGCTTCCACTTATTTTCTTCTGCTGCGTGCTACTGTGTTTTCTTCCATTGCATTGTCCTCTGTTTTCTTCAACTGCATCTTGCTGTGTTTTCTTCTATTGTATCGTGCTCTATTTTCTTCTACTGCGTTGTGCTCTATTTTCTTCCGCTGCTTCGTGTCTACTGGTCTGTTTTCTTCCGCTGCATTGTGCTTTGTTTTCTTTCGCTGTTCATTGAAGCTTTGTTGTTCATTTTACTCTGTTTTGCTCTCTGTCGTTCAGGTCTTCATTGTTGTTCAGGTATTCCACTGCGTCATGCTCTGTTTTGTTGTCCACTATTTAGGTCTTCGTTTTGCTCTGTTTTCCTTTATAATGTTTCATTTTTTTATTAGAATACGATAGTTATGGAATTATGAACATAGAAAAATCATATGTTATTGGTTTCATTTTTGTAGAAATGAGTAATTCTAGTCAGCCTTTACAAGATAATGATATCAAATCCCCTATGGAATTATGTTACAAAGATAAAAAGTGTTGGTGGAGGTGGTGGAAATTATGAAGTAAAATGCAATATTTGTGACCTTCCTTTCAATGGATCTTATACTAGAGTGAGAGCACATTTGTTGAAGATTACGGGAAAGGGAGTTAGAGGTTGTCAAAAAATAACACCCTTGAAGCTTGGTGAACTAACAAAGCTAGACAATGAAGCTACATTGAAGATAGAAAGGTATAAGGCAAAATTTGTCCCTTTGCCTCTGGTTTCTAATGAATCATCTATGGACAACAATGATGGTGTTGATCTCAAAAAAAGAAAAACATCCGGACCACTAGATAAAGCTTTCAATATGCAAGCTAGAAAGACATTAGGACTATGAAATTGCTAGGATGTTTTACTCATCGGGATTGTCATTTCATTTAGCAAGAAATCCTTATTATAGAAGAGCTTTTTCTTTTGCTGCCAATAATTATGTAAGTGGATATCAATCACTAGGTTATAATAAGTTGAGAACAAGTTTACTTGCTAATGAAAGAAGACATGTAGAGAAGCTTTTGGAGCCAATAAAAAATACATGGAGTAAAAAAGGTGTTAGCATTGTTAGTGATGGGTGGAGTGATCTCCAAAGAAGACCTCTCATTAATTTCATGGTTGTTACAGAGAGTGGACCTATGTTTTTGAAGGCTATAGAATGCTCTGATGAGATTAAAGACAAAGATTTTATAGCCAAACAAATGAGAGATGTAATTATGGAAGTTGGACCTTCAAATATGGTGCAAATTGTGACTGATAATGCACCTGTATGTAAGGCCATAGATTTAATGATTGAAGCTGATTTTCCTTGTATTTATTGGACCCGTTGCGTTGTGCACACTCTAAATCTTGTTTTGAAAAATATATGTGCAGCAAAGAACACAGAAAAAAACAATATTGTTTATCAAGAATGTTCTTGGATCACAAATATAGGAGAAGATGCTATGCTCATAAAATTTTTTATCATGAGTCACTCAATGAGGTTATCTATTTTCAAATCATTAAAGTTGCTTTCCGTTGCTCCAACAAGATTTGCTTCTACTATAGTCATGCTTAAGAAATTTAAGCAATTGAAAAAAGGACTCCAAGAGATGGTTATTAGTGATGAATGGTCTTCTTACAAGGAAGATGATGTTGGAAAAGCTAAATTTGTGAAAGATACATTATTGGATGATGTTTGGTCGGATAAGGTTGATTATATACTTTCTTTCACTAGTCTCATTTATGATGTTCTAAGAAAAACGGATACAAAAGCTTCATCTCTCCATTTAGTATATGAAATGTGGGACTCAATGATTGAAAATGTGAGAAAGTCCATTTGTTGATATGAAAGAAAGGCAGAAAGTGAAGAGTCAAGCTTTTATAATGTTGTGCACTCCATATTAATTGAACGTTGGACAAAGAGTAACACACCTCTCCATTGTTTAGCACATTCTTTAAATCCAAGGTAATATTTTATATTCCTAAATAAGATTTTAGTTACATTTTTATAGGTTATTATAATCATGATTTTTATTTATATTATAGATATTATAGTCATGAATGGCTAAGTGAAGATTTTAATAGAGTTCCTCCACATCAAGATATGGAATTTACTCGTGAAAGGATGAAATGTTTTAAATGATATTTTGTTGATGTAGATGTGAGGAGACAAGTAAATATAGAGTTTGCAAATTTTTCGGATGGAAGAGAAGGTTTTGATGACATTGATTCATTAAGTGATAGGGGTAAGATGGATGCAAAATCTTGGTGGCTTGTTCATGGTGCTCATGCTCCAATACTTCAAAAAATTTCTCTTAAACTACTTGGGCAATCTTGCTCTTCTTCATGTTGAGAAAGAAATTGGAGCATTTACTCTTTCATTCATTCTATGAAAAGAAACAAGATGGCACCATATAGGGCGGAAGATCTAGTATTTGTTCATAGCAACCTCCGTCTTCTTTCAAGGAATTCTCCACAATATAACCAAGAGGAAACAAAAATGTGGGACATAGCAGAAGATGCATTTGGATCACTAGATGAGAGTGGAATGCTTGAAGTTTCTAATTTATCACTAGATGAATTGGAGCTAGAGAGTGTATTTTTCAATGATGATGATCATGGGGGCCATTGTCTTTAATAGATTTGATTCATCTTTTTATTTTGGGACTTTCTTTTTGTAAAAAGACAAAGTTCTTACATTGTGAAATAGTGCTTCTTACTATTTTTTAGTTAGGATATCATATGAAAATTGTAAAGTCTAACAACTTTGTCTTGAGAAGATGAATGAACAAATCTTAATTTTTAGTTTATATTTTTCTCATTTGAATCATATTTAAATTTCTATTCATATCTAATATATATAAGGTGTCTCGGTGTCCTATATTTTAGAACTTCGCCATGTCCCGTGTCTCGTGTCGTATCCTAGTGTCCGTGTCAAAATCGGTGCTTCATTGGTTAATAAATATGCAAGCTTCGTGTCTTGAAATTAGGAGGAAAGTGATGAGATCATAAATAGAGAAGATAAAAATGAACAAAAGCATACAATTCCAAAGAAGAAGAATAAGGAGTATGACAAGACAATTCTTTTTTATCACAAAAAATATATCTTTATTTTATATTAAATGGTATTAAGATTTTATTTTCTTTAATTGTAATTTAGGATTTATTTTTGTAATTAAGATTTAATTTGAACCTTCATTTGGGCCAATAGAAGGAGCATAACTTCGGGTAAGGAGGAGCACACGAGTGGACTACAATGAAATTTGGTCATTTGAGGAAAATTCGGCCAAGACACGAGAAGGGTCACTTAAAGTAAAACAAGGAGAGTGTGAATCAAGCATGGAACACACTGCTCTTGGATCATACGGCCAAGATGAGTTTGGAGTTAAAAATGAAAGATCACCTTACTATGACTGAATTAGAGCCAAAATTATATTCAAATTTGAATTTTAGTTTCTCTCTTTTTTCAATTTCATTTCATTTCAATGCTAGTTTCATTTGAATTTGAAATTACATTATTTCATATGAAATTTTGAATTTGAAAGAGAAACACTTGTGTTCATTATATTTGTTTTTTGAATCTTATCTTGATTTCGAAGAATCAAGCAATGATTCTCCACTTATTTTGAAGAGATCTTCTTCAACTAACGTAAATCAAGCAACGATTCTCACATTCCATCTCTTTCTTTTATTCATTTGTTTTGATTTTATATTCATCTTGTTCGTATTATTTCATTACAAACCTTCACACTTGTTTAAGCCATTAAACTTGTGTCTACGACAAGTGATGGAATGATTATTTGTTTTTGGTTTTCTTGACTTGTTTCTTCATAATTATTCACACTTACACTTGTGCCCAGTGGAGAGTAATAGAATTTTAATAATTAAATTATAAACAAAATTCAAATTATAAAACAATTTGCTTGTAATTCATGAACATATCCAAATATCATAACAGACCTTATGTATGTTAGGTGTGAACCAAAATGATATTTGCCCTAAAAGTCTAAGAAAAATCTCACTGACCTTAGGTACTGCTGCAGGCTCCTGGTCAAGTTTCAAGGCCTCAAGTGATCCAGAATATTCAGGAAACAAACTGCAGAACAGCAATAACAGCAATTAGGTATCTGTGCAAAAAACGATGATGCGTCTCAAATTTCACTAAATAAAGCACAACAGATTAATTAAGTAATTAATTTATATATATATATATATATAAGAAGAAAATACCATCTACTAGTTTCTGAGTGTAACACTGTCATTCTATCAGCCATTTGGGACGGAACATGAAGAGACATATTCTGGAGTTTCTTTTGCTGTCGCAGTGATGCATCAATTAGTTTCTGCCATACGGCCAAAAAAAAAAACAAATTCAAGGGTCATCAATTTAAAATTAACAGTTTAATCACCCAATCAATAATAGAGGCAAACTGGTATTTTTTCCGAGGAAGATTAACAACTTCGAGATTTTTACAAACAGGTCAATCATATAAAAATACATCACATCACCTTCAACATAAAACCTTAATATGTTATAAAACCTTAAAGATGTTAAGATATCTAAGTCTTTCTCATTTATATATTACTCAACTTCATTATTTCTACCTAATATAAAACTTCAATTCACATTTAAATTTTAACACAAACTACAAAGCTATAATAAGAATATAATAAGTTATTTGCTTCTTTCCCAAGCCATAAGATGTAATTTTGTTAATGGTTGACATCTACCATTGCGTAGCAGTGTAAATAATCATAGTTAGTTTCTTTTCAATAAATTTCCACATACCAAACTATAAGCATATCTCATCAAGAGACTTGGTCCATTGAAATAATTGCATGAAGCAGAGGAGAATTTGAAAGATGTTATTAGACATTTGAAAGTACTTTGAGACTTTTCTGTAAACTCTTTAGCGTAGTTCACTAAACTTCACAATCAAAATAATGAATAAGCTCTCATTTGATAAAATCTTACTAAACTATTTCTAAGCTTATTTAGAATTGTGGAAATAAGTTATATCTCTTATAAATCTTTGTTTATATTTCAATAACTTCATAGACCCTGTTAAGATAAAACTTCTCTATGTACTTGTAAGAGAAGAGAACATGAAGCTAAAATGAATTAAATTTTTCTCATAAATTAATAGAAGCATATTCAGTAATTAAAATCAGCTTTTAGAAAGTTAAATGAAAGACATTTCTATAAATAATTTTTATGTAAGTTAACTTTTAACTTATCTAAACATTTTAGTTCACATTAAATTCTTATTTCTACAAGTGTTAATTGAAAATTTTAATTCATTTCTTAGTTTTCTTCTTGTGGTTACTGAAAAAATTATCAAAAAATGACTCATTCTCTTTTATGAACCTTTTTCACCAAGTTTCCAGCATTTACCTCATGACATGCCGAATAAGCCTTTAATTAAAATATTTACCCAAATGCACCATTATAATTTTACACTAATTCGAAAGAAGTAGAATGCGCTTATAATAAAACCCACAACCAATTAAGCATTGATTAGTTATCTGAAGGAAAAATGTATTTTAGTGTCCATTTTTTCAATTAAACGTGGTCAAGATATCTGTACTTTCATATTGATAAGTTTATCCTCAAACTTTGAAAAATATATGGATTTAGTCTATCTTATTTTCGAACAAACATGATGAATTCTTAACGAGACTGGTTCTTTTAAAGTATCATAAGCAAATTCATCAATATGAAAGTATTGATCGAGTCCTAAATTATAATGGGCTAAAAAAATAGAAAAAACTAAATGAGTTTCTCTCTCATATAATACTTTTAAAATTTTATTTTATAATTTATTTGTAAACTATTTGTTCTTTATAAATTTATACAATCTTATGTAATTCCTCACTGTTTCTAAACGTGTCACGCACCTTTTTCTTAAAAAAAATAACTAACACTAAAAAAAACTAAAACGTTCAAATTTCAACTTAGTTGCCAATGATACAGAAGTCACTACTTGAAACCAAAATGAATAAATAAAAACAGCACTCTTTGTAAAAAAAAGAAAAAAAATAAAACAAATAAACAACAGCAATAATAATAATAATAATAATAATAATAATAAAAAAAAAAAAGAGTGTGATGAGATTGCCTTGGTTTTGGGAATCGCTTGTGCCTCTTCGCGCAAGCGGTCCTTGATGGCCTTGACCTGAAGCTCCATCGCGCTCACCGCCGCGTCCACCGCCGACAGATCCGCGATGGCACTCGCAGGGTACACTGCAAATTCGTATGCGAACAAACGCTTCGGTTAATAAAAACAGAGATAGGTATAATAATACGAAGGTTTGAAGCTTAATTGAAAAGAACCGATGGAAACTCACTGTTTCGTGCAATGACGAGCTCCTGAAGCTGAGTTATTCGAGCGTTGAAGGAAGACATCAAGGAATCCAACGATGCCCCAGCTTTGTTCCCGTCCATCGTTGTCTCTCACACACACGCAAATCGAACTCGCAAAAGTGAAGTGTGTCTGTGAGCGAGTGAAACGAATCGTTTTGTTTTGATTTGGGAGTTTCAATTTGAAAGAAACGGCGAGTATTTAAAATGCTATGCCAGTTTAGGCGGCAATGTTTCGAGTTGCGTATTTATAACATTTTTTTTTTATTACAACTTTTTTTTTTAAGTTCGAATGCTCCATAGGTTGGGTAAATGCTAAATGCACCTCCCTTGGGCCTTTTTTCCTCAAAATTCTTATCCTGTTTCAAACTAAATGGGCCTCCTTTTATAACACTACAAAACAAAAAAAGTTTTCAGAAATTATAGACTCTCTCTTTCCAAAGCAACACTTATTCAAAAATATTTAATTAATAGACAAAAATATTATAACTTCATATCTATTCTTATATGTCTTTTCTAATATGAGTAGAATTGTACTACTTATTTTTTGTTGGAATTATGAAAATGCGTTTGATTGAATAGATTCCACCTAAAAAGTTTATAAAACATATTAAAGTAAATAAAAAATAATTATAAATTAAACGAAGTAAAAAAAAAACTTATCTGTTTGACCCACACCTTAAACGGGTTTAGGATAGTCTTTAGATTTATTAACTAATCTATTTTATAAAATAATGATTATATTTTTAAAACAATATTATTTTATTAATATACATAGACATGAGTTAAACTTACCTAGTTAAATAAAAAAAACCTAGTGGAGTGAATAAATATTAATTGAATACGATGAGTATAGGATAGTTTATTAAATGTATCAAATAACATATTATATGAGTTAATTTGAGCTTTCTGTTAACCATGAGGTAATTTAATAGATTCATCAGATAATATGTTGTTTAAGTTGATATAAGCTTCATTAGTTAAGATGGATAACCAAGGTGGTATGTTAGGTTCGTTAGATGATATATTAAGTTAACTTGCATCTTCATAAGTTGAGTGTGATGAATTCTTCAGATAACATGATTTTGAGTTGACTTTGGTTACTAGTATGTTACATTCGTCATATAACACGTGGTTCAATTGACATATAATTTTCATATGCCTGAATCAAGTTTGATGACTATTAATTTACATATTATTCTTCTTGAATTCATTCTAAGCACATGTGTTAAATATTTAAATTTATTATCATTAAAATAATGAATATAGTCTTCAACTATTGTAAGACTTTAAGATCATTTGACTGTTCGAATCTAATAAAATATGTTTAAAAAGACATGAATTTGTGAATTTGTCAAGTTATGCATCATAATTCATTTGTATTAACCAACACAATTATAATCATTTGTGGTATCAAAATAAAGTATTGAATAACATCAAAACTCGTTTTAACACAAAATCTCTTAACTTTTGTTTGTTTCAACACCACTTCAAAATTGGATTACATTACTCTAAAAACCCATAATACTTCAAATAAATGAACCTAATCCAAACATATATCTCATTCACAAAATTAGATTCAATTTGAGCACACAAAAACTCTAAACATTTTCAATAATAACAAAGCACAAGCTAAAAAAATAAATAATCAACTCAAATCATAAGAATCACATGCAAATCATTTTAACAACATTTCTTCATGTGTTAAGTGTTCTTTAATAAGCATGAAACAAAATCTTATTGAGGTATAAGGATAGTCTTTCCACCTATTATTCTTTTAAGCATCCATATTTGAGATATTCTCCTCCCTTTTACCTTAGATGATAATACATAGCATTTTGAGGTGTGATCCACTAATTTAAAGGCTAATATTCAAACCCTCCTTTGTGGTTTTCGCAAGTGTTCAAACTTGAAAAAAAAAAAATGGAATGAAAAGAAGAAAACCTAACTCCCTATTTTTGTTGAGATGAGTGACATTGGATTGAGCTTTGACAAAGCTAACTCATTATAGTTGGAGGTTAGATTTTGGGTTTCAAAAGAGTAAATATCATTGAATAGTGAATAATTTTATACTCATTTATATTAATTAGTCACTATAAAAATCATTTTTTTAACATAAATTAAAACAAAATATGTTGATGAAATAGAAATTGTGATTTTTTATATTATTTTGAGATGATATTATGTTATATATGATATTTGTTCTAACTTTCTTATTTTGTCTCTTATACATTATACAACTAAAAATATCACTCAAATAAATAGAAGCGTCGAATTGTCAAAACTCTTTCTTTGTGATCATCTAGTAACTAGGTAAAATACAAATATGATTAATAAATCAACCATAATTCAAGGAAAAATTCTTATTAATTTTAATATTTATTTTTCACATAAAAGCAATGTAAAATTATAAATTTCACATATATTCCTTTATCTTATCAAGATCAGAGTAGAAAATAACTATTTCTCAAAATCTAATTAAATTATAAACGACAAAAATGGACATCACACTAACATCTAATAATATTTTTCATCTATACATATTTTTAATAACATTTTAGATGTAATTATTTGAGATCTTTTATGTCTTTAAACTTTAATTATATTCCTTTCGATTTAATTGTGAATAAATTGTTCTTTAAGTTTATATTTAAATATAACTTCCTTTGCACTTTATAATAATATTAGTTTTGAAGATAATTGTTGAAGGATAAATTTTGGAAAGGAGTTTGGAGCTTTCATAGACATGAAACTAGAGAAAATGAGGCTTGTTGTTTAGGCTTAAGTTGTCCAAAATAAGCTTAAGCTTACCCCTACATAACAAGAAGAGGCATTATGTGAGCCTTAAGTAACCCATTTTGAGGGAACTCAATCCAAACCTAAGAAAAGAATAAACAAAGTTTTTGTGAATGTTTAAGCAATTTTCTTTTTGATAGCTGAAGTGCTTTTATCTAAAGCTCATTATGGAACAGGCCCAATACCTGATATGAATCACAAGGGGTAATTTAGGATCTTTAAGGTTAGAACCTTGTAGGAAATTTAGGAATTTAGTAATAAGGTAGAAGGAAAGAATCACTCTTTCCAAATAAGGCAACACACAAAGGATGTGAAAATCTTTTGATACAGCCAAAGGTTCTTGAATCACTTAAGAATTTAGGAGAATCACTCTTACTAAGATAAAAGAGATAAACTCTAATATTTCTAAAAATAAAACTCAACTTGTTATTTCTGATAAAAATGGTTCAGCTTATAAAGAAACTTTGTCATCAGAGTTACAAATATTCATTAAAGGAAAATAAATGCTAATAATGATTTATTAACCTAGGAATTGAAAACTACTTAATGATTGATTGTAACTGAAATTTGTTAAGTGGTAAAAAGTTAATATAATTATGTCTTGAATTGTTATGAAACCACTTAATTTGTGTTAATTCTAATATATTTTTCTCCCAACATAGGATGAATTCGAGAATACATTGATACAAGAGTAAGGAGCATAATTGTCAGCATAATTGGAGTAAAATTGAAAAGAAAGAAGAACGCTTAAGCGAATGAATGATGCGGGACCCGACCCAAATTCTCTTATAAAAAGATAAGTTGTGTTTTGAGAAAGAGAAACAGTCTTGGAGAAGAGGAGACACAACTACTGTTAGGATTTTGTCTAATCTTCATCAATTCTTCATCAATTAGAGCATTGTAATGACCAACATGAGTGACTAACTTCATTCTCTTAGCATTGACTTCCTTCCTTATCCCTCTTTTGGAATGACGATATTTTCTCAATAATTTACAGTTCTTTGTCATTTAATTTCAATTCAACTCTTATTTGCAAAACCCAATCTATTTAACATACTTAGTAAACATAATTGAGAATTTTCATTGAAACTGTTCCTCGTGGGATCGACTTTTATTTAATTGAAATACTATACTGCGATTGATAATTTTGGTACGATTGTCAATAATTCAACAAAATTGTGGCATCCAAAAGTCAATTAGTTATGCACCATCTTGGTCTCCCAAAGACTGATAACTAAATTTTCAATTGGGCCCTTATTACAACTTGCAATAAAACTAAACTAAAGTCCATTAATTGATTAATCAAAATCACAATTTGGTCAACCAACAATACTTGTTGAAGACCTTCATTTGTTTCCCTTGCTTTAGTCCTTATCATAGGTCATGTTCATATCAGTAACTAAGGCAAACTTTAGAACTATAGTTTACATAATTACACACTTTTTAACTTTAATGAGGGGAAAACCTTTTTAACGTAATTGGATCTCTACTCTCATGTAATTATTATATTTGTTTTTATTCAAATCACAATGATTATTAATTATTATTCTACTTATATGTTTAATATTTGTGATGTCCTAATTGGAAATTAGATAAATTATATGATTTTATAATTTCAATTTATGACGAGAAATTCCTTTTAAGTTACAAACTGCATACACTATTAAATAAGTTTATGTCTATGGATAGGGTAAAGAGGATGATATTAATATCTTTGTCCTTAAAAGTACCTTGGCTGCATTTATTTGGATGATTGATTTTGATTTGAAATTTTTGTACGTAACCTACAATAACTCGCTTTCCCAAAATTTTTCTTGAGGAAATATTGGATCTAAACTCAAATTTTTAATTTCAAATTAAATATAAACTTTACATGGAAATTAAAAAAAATTAATGGGTTATAGTTCTTAACTAAGAACGATTACTAGAAAAATTCACTACAAGAAAATAGATAAATCATGATTAAAAATCAGTTGATATTTAAATCAATGACTAATTGTACAACTAATCAATGTTTAGTCGTTATAATCTTGGTCGTTGACTATGCGACCCATTTTACTAATCTGTACTAATCTGTTTACTAATCTGTACTAATTATCTTCCGTATGTGGCCATGAAATTTTATCACGGTTAGTATATTCAAATTGTTAACGAACAATAATCCTAACATTCTTAAAATTATGATTATAATATTATATTAAAAATTATATTTTAATACAACCTGAATATCAAATTTGAAATATCTCAATCATATCACGTATTAAAATGTATGAAAGATGAGACATAGGGTTCTTGTATTGTGATCATATTTAGAGGCAGAAAAATGGACAGCACATGAGGGAGGATATTCAACTATATGACACGGGATCTCTCTTCGGGATTCATCAAACATGTAGGAATGGAAGTGAGGTAGGAGTAGCCATGAGGTTGAGAGAGAGACAAAGACACTTCAAAGGTTGTCTGGTGGCATATTAATAACGTAGTTTAGAGAGCAAATTCGACGATTTCCATAACATTGTTGGGAATTAATGCGCGTGTTGTTGTTGTTGTTGTTACCTTGTTAAGGGTTGGAATAGAATGTGTGTTGCTAATATTGCTTGTGGCAGTTCCAAGAAACTGGTTTAGTTTCCCTTTTCTCAATCCCAATTTGTCTTTATTGGGATTTTATGTTCCATCACAGTTCAATATTAACTTTCATGGAGACATACTTGGAACTGTTGCATCTCGTGTCCCTTGTTTGGTGCGGAACACCCTGGCTATGTTTAGTTTGCACTAAGTATTGAACATAAAAAACAAGTTCCATATAAAATAAATTAAAGAAGAATTTCTAAAACCTTGTTCTCATGGACAACTTTTGTTGGTATATCATCATTTTTATTAATGATTGAAATCTTTGTTGAAGATTTTGATTGATAATTTTGTTAATAATTAATTTTTATTTAAAAACTTGACTAATATTGTTATTTCTAATTATGCTTTTCTCATTCACAAAAACTTAAACCTAAAATCTTGTTTAATGAGACCAAATTCAATATCACTCCAATCAACATTTGATGTAAATTTTGATTCTTTAATTATATTAATTAAATCAGAGAGAACTTTTGCCATTATTGTAGATTTCGGTAAAGAATATATAATTAAAAAAAAAAACTTGTCTGAACTTTAAAATTTTATAAGATGAAATAAAATTTTAGAGTTAAATTTCTTCTAAAAATTTTGTTCTGCATTATTTTAACTATGGTCAATATATTAGTCCAAATAAAGTGTTGTCCCCATTGAAAAGTTCATGGATATACCCGGAAAAGTGATGTACCCCACTAATCTTCCTTTAATTTAGTTTCAGTTACTTGCCTTTTTTATTTGTTTTTTCTTTCGCCAATTAAAAAATATGAAATAAAAAATCATTATTTAAAACATTTTTAATTTTGGGATAATTTTCTAACTAAAGTATTATATTTTTCATTTATTCAAAAAGATATCAAACAAGACGACAATATCGTTCCTTTAATCTGTATTTGTGTTATGTACGTATGAAAATACATTTTTTATGTCAAAATTTCTTTTAAAGCTCATAAATTTTGACATGACCCGTCTGTATATTCAAATATATTTTAAAATATACTAAAATATTATCATTTTAATATAAATTATAGTATTTTTTTCAAAGTTCATAATTAAAATATTTTTTAATTTGTTTACAATATGAAAGTTTTATATCATGATATATCAAAATTAAATGTTTCGCATATATATAAATTATTCATTCCTGTTGGGTGTTAGGTAGTATTTCAAATCCCAATACATTCTTTCTATGGTATAACTACATGGATATTTGATTTAATGTTTGTATATAGTTAGCTTTTCAAGAAAACTTTAAAAAATCAATACTATATAATAGAATATAATACTTTGGTTTGTGATGAAAGTTTTCGTTGTCTCATTTAAAATGTTCACAATATATATATATATATATATATATATATATATATATATATATATATTTGTAAATAATTTATACACACGTATACTATTATAAGGAAAAATAAGAAAGGACAAAGAGAAAAAGAAGTGGGCAAAAATACGAAAACCATGTGCGAAAGAAGATTTGTTGCTATTGCTATCGTTTTCCATCATTTAAGAACACCAACTACCAACTTCTTAGAATCAACTTGTATTTACTTGTTTCGTTTTATAAGATTAATAAAAGAAATTTGCAACCACATCACATGATAATGATGTGAGTACGTATACTGCAACGTAACCTTCAATGCATCAATTTTATGAATGCCCAAGATTTTAAAAATAAAAAAGGAATAAAGACATATACATACAAGATTTCAAACTATGGAAAATATGGATGGATCTACTTTCTTCGTAGTTCTTTATAAACAAAAGCATATCCATTTTCAAACTATAAATCAATCTAAGAAAATGGTTGGTTGAAGTTAAATAGCATTTTACTTCATCAAACTTCTTGGACCATGAAGAAATTAATGCACTTGCGGACTTTTCAATTTCTAATGTTATACATATTCATTCATAAACAGTTCTAATATTATATATAAACCACTTAATAATCAGAATAAGAAAGCAAAGGAATATCCCCTAATAACTGGGATACTATATACTATTATGTAGTAATCAAGAAACCTTAAGTTTGAAAATATGGTTGTGGACCCTTTCATAAAACCATGCTATGCTATAGCAGCATATCTTAGGGAGAGAGAGCATAACTCTTCATTGAGCCATTACAATGATAAGAGAAGTTATGGTGAGGAAAATGGTGTTAAAAGTAGTCATGAGTAATTCCAGACCTAGAAGACGAGGGATATAAATTGTAGTCATGAGTAGTTCTTCTTACTATAATATAAAATATGAAGTTCTAAATATATATACACCTGACACAGGAGATATACATATGCATGTACCTGCTGGAAACATGTCTGATGTACATTTTATATTTATAAAATTAGAAAGAGAGAAAAAAGGAGCACTCAATGTACCTTCAAGTCTTAACTCATGACAGTTATTAAGTTTCTGTAGTCATACATATGCTATAGATTTCAACTGTAATGAGGCCCTGTCTTCCATGCTGATCTTTCTCTTTAATGTTGATCAGGGCTTCCATTTATTGTTACTTAGTTGTGATGAGGAGGGTGTGTCTTCGGTGGTGAATAGTCCAAGTCAAAACCAGGGTGTTTCTGACGAGGTTTCTTGTTGTGAGGCACACGCCAAGAAACTGAAACAAGAGACTTTTTTAAAGCACCTGAAGCATTTTTAACTGCTTTGTGCACCCTATGGTTAGTGCTTCTTCTGTTTCTTGGCTTCTCAGACTCACCAACCAACCGAGCCTCCGTCTTGTTTAGACCTTCGTTAAGATGTTTTGGCCGGGAATCAAATCCATTTTTCTCATCAATCTGCAGAAACCAAAAATCTAACATTATTATAATCAAAAGAGTCGTCATGGCACTGTAGATATTTATTTTGTACGATCAATATTGATGCAGTTTCACTCTTAAATTTACGAGTACATATATATATATATGTGTGTGTGTGTGTAATTTCTCTTCATTCAGCCATTAACATGATAAGAGAAGTTATAAGAGTTGGTGTGAAAAATCTAAGAGTTTGCTGTTTTGGTATAGTTGGTTTTTAGGCCAATAATTTAGTAAGTTTGTACGTACTAAAGGAGAAAGAGAGAGGGAGAAAAAGTTTCTCTAAATCATCAATACCAAAATTCTGAAAGTACCATAGATTTTTTCTATATCAATATACAATAATATAAACAAATCATAAAACTACTAATTAGTTGACAAACCTTGATAGAGAAGTGTGATTTCTCTTGGAGCTTCATATTGAGAGGGCTAAAATGGCGAGCATAGCATGCATGCAATGAAATGCAGAGAAAGAAAAGAAGAAGGCATGATGCAGTTGACATGGTATGTAGTCTGAAACTGTGTGCAAAACTTAGTTGCGGGGTGTGGAAAATGTAAGGGGGTAGCACGAGTATTTGTAGTAACAAGGAAATAAATGTGCATTAAATGCAAGAACTTGAGGAAAAACAAGGAGTTTTCTTGTAGAACATGGAGATGTAGGGGGTGAAAGAAGTAATGGGAGAAAATGTGGATATGGTGGCCTCCTCTATTTTGTCCCCTCCTTCTCACATGTCAATTTATTGGGTCCCAATAGAGGGAAAGAGAAGAAACACAAATCCTTGTTCAGAGATATATACAAGAGAAGAGAGAGAAAGAGTGTGCCGTGAAAATATTAAAGATTAAGAATTGAAAATGGCATTAGACTCATTGGGGGGGATATGTAAAGTGAAACATGAACCAAAATCAAGAATGCCATTGCCTCCCGTATTGGTTCGACCGAGGAACTTTTCATTTCCTGTCTTTTTTCTCTATCAATATCTGCATGGCTAGTGCCCCATTGTTTCTTTCCATATTTGCCTTCTTTTATTTTTAGTTTTAGAAATTTTATGAACAAAATGTTCATGTGCAACGTTGTGATATTCTCTTTCATTATATTATATACTTTATTCAAATATTCTTATTATTATTGACATTTATATGTGAGTTTTGATGATATTAATTTTATAGATTCTATTTGATTTTATGTCTGGTATAGTGCACAAATAAAATAAGTACAATATATAAGACAAAACTATTAAAAAAAATCACTCCAATCTATAGCAACTCTTAACTATTGAAGTTGTTGTGGAAAATAAAACATTTCAAAACTTTTAAATTAAACTATAAATTTAATTTAAATTAAGAAATATATACATTTATAATCATGTGAAATTAAAATAGTTTATAGAACCGAATTAGATAATCTCAAGTTTTTTAACCAGAAATTTTGAAGTTTCGTTCGTTTGAAGAATCAATAAGAAGCGATTAAAATGACATATTATCAAGCATATATTTTTAGAAGTTAGTTCATTGGACCATAATCAAAATTGTCAGCTATAATTGATAAAGAACTCATACATGTAAATGGCTAATACCCCTTGTTTCCATTTTTCTTTTTTTATTTGTCCTTGTTCCGTAGAATAAATTTATATACAAAATAATTTCTCGTTATTTTAGACCTAAAATGGAGCTACATAAGAGATCTATCTCTACGGCTTAGGAATTTGTCTCATTAGCTCTTGTTGTTCAGAGATACTTGGCTTTCAATAAAAAACGGGTTAAATAAAATGAAAAACTACAGGAAAAAATTAATAACTTTTCTCCATTAGGGTTGACTTAATTAATGAGCTAGGTCTTACGAGTAGGTTCATCCAATCCGAAAAAAAAATGATAACTAATATGATTTCTTTTCTGTTTACGGAAAAGACAATAAATGACATGATTGTTGTTCTTAATGGTATCAAATATTAAATATATATTGAACCTTTTTGTTGAAAAAAACATTTCAAAATTTTAAATTAGTTCTGTAATAATTTAATGGATATAATTCGAATGATGCAGATTGATTGATATACCGTCTGTATATACTTTTGAATATTATTTATTGAATTTGTTCTTATCAAGCTCAAGATGATTAGCGTTGAGCTGAAAATAATAGCCAAGACATTCGAACTAACTTTGATGATGGTATTTGGAAAGTATAGAAGCCCAATTACAAAAAATATTTTGACATTTAAATTATTTATTAAAGAAGAGATTGATGTATAGAAGAATGAATTATAAGATAAGATTACTCCTTGATTAGATTATTTGTATAGTATTCAAAAGATAAAGATAATAATAGACTGAAATATAATTAACTGATAACCTATAAAATAATAACTACTATAAGATATTATCAAGATAATTAATAGCAAAATAAATAAAAATAGTTTCTTTAATGGATTTAGGCTGATAAATATGATTAAGTGACTCAATAATTTTGGACCAAGTAGGTACATACGTCCCCCAAACTTAGAGGACGAAGACTGAATGAGTTTTTTGTCTTGAAAAAACGATCTCCTAAAGGATGACCTTAATAAAATATTGAAAATTCAAAGAGATATTATTTTTAAAAACTTATTTTCTCATTTTTCATTTTCACATTTCTCATGTTTCTCTTCTTTTTCAGGCTTCTCTTTCTTCGTTTTGCTTGACCATTTCTTCATCTTTGAGTCTTATTTCTGCGTATCCACTACAAAATAACTATTTAGATAAATATTGAAAATTATATTTGATGAATATCTCGAGATAAATATTTGAGTTATATTTATTGTAATATTCTTTTTTAAATTACCATGTTTGTTAAAAAAATATGAGACATACTTTTTTACGTTATTATAAATTTAAATTTTTTAAATATATTAACCACTTATTAAGTTTATTCTATATATTTTTTTTATAAAGTGTATATGATAAAAAGTGATGTTTTTAACCATGATTATAAATAAATTATTATTGAATAAAGTGTATGATAATTTTGAAATTAACTTTAAATTTTTAATAATAATTATTTCAATATTGTTATCATATAAAAAACAATGATTATAAGAGGAATCATTAGCATGTATGAGACAAAAACTTTTTAAATGATAAGTGTATAATGAATATTGTGAAATTGCACTCATTTTTCATTTGCATTGTTGCACTCCTTCTCTTCTTCTTTTTTTGTTATGCCTCTTTCTATCATTGACTTCTCCATCTCTGTTTGTGTCCCTCCTCCTCTTCATTTCCCTTTCTTTGCAACGCAAATTATCTTGTGACTCTTGCTTATTTAGGGTGATTTTTGTGTGTAATTATGATCTATTATTGTCATTTGTGGTGATGGTTCATGGTTCTACTCCTCCTTTCAAACACATTCTTCATATTACTTAATAGTGTCCTTGTGAATATGTGAATTTAACCTTTGTACTGTATTGTTCTTAAATATATATATATATATATATATATATATATATATATATATATATATATTTTTTTTTTTTTTGATATTCTACTATTGCATTGTTATATTTTCAAGATGTCCATATTTTTTATGTTATATTGTCATTGAACTATAATTTTTTATTTGAGATTCAATACAAATAATTAAATATTATATCTATTTTTAAATGTCTATTACTTTTATTTAAAAACAAGAGAAGGGAGTACTTATAAAATTTGAATGAACCAGTTGGATTGTGTAAAAACATTAATAATTTTTTATTAGTTAATTAGTACTTGTATAGAAATTTTGATTGATTATATTTTGTGTTGTTCATCAGGACATATTTGATTGTGGTCGATTTGGTGTCTCCAGTTTCATTTTGTGTTACCTAACGACTAATACAAAATGCTACCCAAAATTTGTAAAATAAAAAAAATTGATTAATAATTACATATTAATCAGTAATAAAAAAGTGTCATGGATATGATAAACTCATATTTTGACGAAGAAGTGGGATTAACATGCATTGAAATATTTAAATATGATTAAAATTAAATAATTGTACACAGATACTATGGAGTGAAATAATTTTTATAATTTGTACAACACAATATTTCTAATAGTATTGATGAATGAATATTTAGTTGCTAACTTGTTAAGTATTTGAATATTTAAGAAATTAGGGAACATCTTTGATAGGACTCTCTTATAAATTATACACATGAACAATGACGATTTGTAACTTACTTTTTTACCGTCCCAAACTTAATAATTATTAAATATACTTACTTATATCACTACTACAGAAAAGACTTTTTATGTCGATTAAAATGGATTTTCGACATTAGTTAAAGAGGCGACATAGATACAGGGGTCATAGAAAGTAAGACTTTCTACGTTGATTATTATGAACCGTCATAGAAAGTTATACTTTCTACGTTACTTTCTATGTTGGTTTATATTGGTAACCGATGTAAAAAATCTTATTTTCTATGACCCCTGTATCGATATCGGTTAACACTAACTGTTATTGTATGTGATATCAATCTTGGTTATGTAGATAACTGACATAGTAGGTTAGACTTTCTATGTCAGTTAACGCCATAACCGACATAGAAAATACTTTCTACGTCGGTTAATGTTACAACCGACATAGAAAGTGTGTGCTTTTTTTAAAAAGGACCTGCCTTTTCATGACAGTTCCTGCCTTTTCATCAAATAGACCTACTTATTCATCATAGTTCCAGACAGATTCACAGTTCCAAACAGTTCACAACACAACACATATGAAACATACTTTCATTTGCTTAAACGAATGTAAATTTGCTAACTTAAATTAATTCAATCAAAATTGTTACAAGTCAAATTTTCTATGAAGATTGAATACTTAAAAGGAAAGAAGTCCACTATTCTCGAATGTCATCTAACACTTCAATCTTCAATGGAGAAGAGTCTTTAAAATCCTACATAATGAAACATTTCATATTTAGAAACTATTTACATAATTGACATATTTGACTTAATTATAGTATATTTACCTCCCTCCATGAGTCAATAATGTTTGCGGATACGATGTTGTGCATGTGCTTCATCATATAATACCCGCACTCATGGCTTCTCGGTTGGCGTGGGCACTACAAGTTAAATACATGTCAGATTAACTTTAAATGACAAATTGAACAACAATAAGAGGAATGTGTGGTCACATTTGGTGCAATATACGTCAACTTCTTTCTAGCATGAGATGGAAGGCCTTGCAATCTGAGATGAGCTTCCAAAACTCTATAAAAGGACAAGAATTAATTATAATAGAACCCAATTTTGGGGTAAGTGCACATATGATACAGTAATTAAAAAAACCAAACTTACGCGTCTATGTGCTTTCTAATATCCAAATCATTTGGTTTCTTGTGTAATGAACACAAGAGAACCACAAGAAATTTTCGAGGAACAATGACTAGGAGCTGCCAATGACCCCTACAATTTGACATAATATTAGTACAATTTCAGTTTTACATAAATGTGTATTAATTTATAAGATGTATACTTATTGATGCA